GAGAAATGACTATCTTCTAGGGATGTGCATTTAAAGCAAAAGTACTATTCGATAATCGTGGGGTACTAATCATTAATATTCGAATATTTGACAATAACTGCCGCCAGACTGCCCCCAACACCCACCGCTGCGGAAACAGATATAGATCCACAATTTTTCTCTTTCTTTTTTATTTTGACAGTGGATGCAATTCACAGCACAACATTATAGAACCGTTTTCTGTCTTTAATCCCATTAAACAAACAGGATATTATATACAATACAAAAGGTGCGTGTGCGGACCGGGTTTTCCTTCATAAATCACCCAATAATACCGTCGTCACGTCAAACAATTAACAAAGTGCGGAGACTTCAAACAATAATTATATAAATGTTGAACATTTTACTAAACATACCTGAGAGACAGCATTGCTGACGTGAACATTTTTTAACATGCTCGTCCGCATAATCCGAAAAATAGTTCAAGCCTAATCCAAGTTTTTATTCAGAAAGATCAGCATGTCCACATGCACGGGATGAAGACGGGAACGAAGTCTGTTTACAATAAGTCCCGCCGTGGAAAACACCCTTTCCGACGGCACAGATGTGGCGGGCACACACAAGTATGCACTCGCTAATTTTGCCAGCTGGAACTTTTTGACAACTGCTGCAGTAATTTCTCCATCGTGTCTTCTCCAGTTTAATTTTCTACGACTTGGCATGTAGCCCGCCACTGTGTATCGTCAAATGGTACGCTGCCCCCGTGCGGAAGCCGCCAGTAATAAAAATGTTTCCCCCCTCCAGATATGGTACACTATTCAATTTTTTATGATTTAACGACTATTCGAATATTCGAAAATCGATGCCCAGCCCTACTATCTTCCCGTTGTGGAAGATCCGCATCTTACATTGTTGTAGCTGGAATCCCCGAAAAGATCCAGCTTCAACAAACTGCTTTTTCACCGCGTTGAACTGGCTGCGTTTCTTCATGGTTTCTGCAGAAAAATCTTGGGCAAAAACGATCGTATGGCCCTCGTGAGTGATAGTGCGTTGCTTAGCTTTAAGGAACACCACTTCTCGATCTTGAAAACGTAAAAATCTGATTAGTACCGCTCGATTCTGTCCTGGTTTTGGTCTGCCCAGCGTGCGATGTGCTCTTTCAATCGTAAATGGAGTGTCCGCGGGGTCAAGACCCAACCAGAGAGGAATCTTGTGCTGAATGTAGCTTAGCATGGACTGGGTTCCTTCGGTGCCCTCAGGCAGACCCACAAGTCTCAGGTTCTTCCGACGGCCACGGTTTTCTAAATCCTCAGTTTTAGTTTCCAGATAGGCAATACGTTTCGTAGCAGCAGTAAGCTCCGTGATCATACTTTGCACGCTCTCCTCCGCAGATTCAATGCGGTCCGCCGCGTAGCATTAGCGGAAATATCTTGCTTCAGAGCCGTAAAGCCTCCCTGTACCGCAGTAACAGCGTTGTTCATGTCAGAAATACGTTCTTCTAGTTTGTCCAGCTTGTCACCAAAGCCGGCAATATCGCTCATCTTGTCGTGGATAGAAGTAATATCCGTGCGTAATGATTGCAGCTCACTTAGCACGGCGGCTAGGTCGCCTCCTTCATGTGGGCCAGCCATGCTACCTGTAGCGTTAGCACCCGGGGATAGCATTGGTGGCGGAGCAGTGCTTCTGGTCTTCTGAGACCCGCGGAGCCGAGAGGTAGTTTCACAGTCCTTAATCGTTGTTTGTTTTGACATCTTGTGAGCGTTGCAAAAGGCGCTAATGCTGGAACTTTTTAAGATTTATGTGGAGTTGTGAGGGACAACCACGTTATGCTGCCATCTTGCTTGGCGGCTCCACAGCGCCCCCCAAAGCTTTACAATTTCATTCGTGAATACAAACAGGTTAAAATCATGAATTCAGATATTTTGGAGTTTTTTCACGTAAATGAATCAGTCTTTACCCTTAAAAATGTCATGTGGTGCGACCGACGATCATCTTTAAAATATACTTATTCAACAAAAATTAAATATTAATTTCTAAATTCTCGTGCTGTTAACATACACAGATGTAACAGCACGAGGGTCTGGGACAAAGGGACAGTGGACACATGAGGTTCTATTAAGATTAAGAGATTCTTTATTCGTCCCACAGTGGGGAAATTTCAGTGTTGCATCACAAGTTATAGAACAGAGGAGCACACGGCACAAGATAAGTGAACAATAGCTATACTAATTAAAATAAAACAATATCTAACTCTAGCATCAAATAACAAGTATAAAATCTCTATCTTGAAAATAATAAAAATACAAAAAAAAACATTATTTTAAATAGTGATAAATGAAAAGCCTGTTGTGATGTTCTAAGAATGCATTTCTAAAGGGCTATATCCAACGACATGGATCTCTCATTATTGCATAACAATAACACTGACCCAGATGTAGTATTCCAGCCAACATTTATTCATAAGGATATTTGGCTTTGAATTTTTTTTTTTTTTATGGGTCCTTTTACGACGTTGCCAGACTTGCTATTTAAGTGCTCAAACAGCCAAAGACATTAAGACGTTCTAAGTGTCTCTTGCCAATTAGCTTTTAAGAGGCTGGCAGATCCATTGTCTCCCTTTATAAGATGAGATGAGACGGGAAAAGAGAGGCGTTATTTGTCCCACAGTGGGGAAATTTCAGTGTTGCAGCGCACATACAGGACAGTAAGTAGTAAAAGCATGCTAAATATACAATTTAAGTACAGTGTCTTGTATAAAGACCCCCTTGAACCTTTCAACATTTTGCCACATTTCAGGCTTCAAACATAAAGATATAACATTTTAATTTTTTGTCATGAATCAAAAACAAGTGGGACACAATCGTGAAGTGGAACAAAATGTATTGGATAATTTAACTGAATAGTGGGGCGTGCAATATTATTCGGCCCGTTTACTTTCAGTGCAGCAAACTCAGTCCAGAAGTTCAGTGAGGATCTTTGAATGATCCAATGTTGTCCTAAATGACTGATGATGATAAATAGAATGCACCTGTGTGTAATCAAGTCTCCGTATAAATGCACCTGCTCTTTGATAGTCTCAGGGTTCTGTTTAAAGCACAGAGAGAACCATGAAGACAAAGGAACACACCAGGCAGGTCCGAGATACTGTTGTGGAGCCGGATTTGGATACAAAAATATTTCCCAAGCTTTAAACATCTCAAGGAGCACTGTGCAAGCAATTATATTGAAATGGAAGGAGTATCAGACCACTGCAAATCTACCAAGACCCGGCCGTCCCTCCAAACTTTCATCTCAAACAAGGAGAAGACTGATCAGAGATGCAGCCAAGAGGCTCATGATCACTCTGGATGAACTGCAGATAACTACAGCTGAGGTGGGAGAGTCTGTCCATAGGACAACAATCAGTCGTGCACTGCACAAATCTGGCCTTTATGGAAGAGTGGCAAGAAGAAAGCCATTTCTCAAAGATATCCATAAAAAGTCTTGTTTAAAGTTTGCCGGGTCTTGGTAGATTTGCAGTGGTTTGATACTCCTTCCATTTCAATATAATTGCTTGCACAGTTCTCCTTGAGATGTTTAAAGCTTGGGAAATCTTTTTGTATCCAAATCCGGCTTTAAACTTCTCCACAACAGTATCTCGGACCTGTCTGGTGTGTTCCTTTGTCTTCATGGTTCTCTCTGCGCTTTAAACAGAACCCTGAGACTATCAAAGAGCAGGTGCATTTATACGGAGACTTGATGACACACAGGTGCATTCTATTTATCATCATCAGTCATTTAGGACAACATTGGATCATTCAAAGATCCTCACTGAACTTCTGGACTGAGTTTGCTGCACTGAAAGTAAAGGGGCCGAATAATATTGCACGCCCCACTATTCAGTTTTTTATTTGTTAAAAAAGTTTAAATTATCCAATAAATTCCGTTCCACTTCACGATTGTGTCCCACTTGTTGTTGATTCATGACAAAAAATTAAAATGTTATATCTTTATGTTTGAAGCCTGAAATGTGGCGAAATGTTGAAAGGTTCAAGGGGGCCGAATACTTTCGCAAGGCACTGTAGCTGCTATGTTTCTCAGATGGCTGTAAAGGCTTCAATATCAACATGGCAGTAAGACACTTTCCACTTAGATTAGGGTTGGATTAAGATTAAGAGATCCTTTATTCGTCCCACAGTGGGAAATGTCAGTGTTGCATCACAAGTTATAGAGCAGAAGGAAAGAGGAGCACACATCACAAGAAAAGTGAACAATAGCTATACTAATTAAAATAAAACAAAATCTCTAACTCTAGCATCACATAACAAGTATAAAATCTCTATCTTGAATATAATGTTAATAAACAGAAACAGATAGGGCTCCGTACATATGTTATTTATGGTTGAAAAATAATTGCTAACGTGACGGTTTCAAAAGGAGACCAGCTAAAACATGCATGAATTTCTTGAACAATTTTAAATAATCAATAAATCAAGTAAAAGATTAAAAGTTATGGTGGTACACACGCTAAAATGTACTCGTTGCTACTGGCAAAGGCAATGATTATATATGTAGATAAAATGTTGATTTAAAGCGTACATTTTCTCCATTACACATGATACTGGGACTATTTGCTTTTCTTTTACATGTTTAGAATGTTCTTTGATTTTATTATAGGGTGAAAAATTCTCTCTGCGTGTATCCCGCTATGCTACCTAAAGAGGGAGGGGTAGACATTTATTTTTATTTTGTTTCTAATTTGAAAAGTACCAGCTGCAAACAAACACACATTGCAGAGAATGTTATTGAGAAATGATCCTAATTCATGGGCAATACTTTTGTGTGATGTCATACGGGTGCGATGATGTCATACTATCTCAGAATTGAGACTGAGCTTTTAGACAGAAGGGAAGGACTGACTTGTTTGTGACAGAAGGCAGAACGACACAGTTGGCACAGTGTGTGGAGTTTGTGCTGCCCCTCCAGCCCTTTGTGTGCGGAGTTTGCATGTTCTCCCCATGTCTGTGTAGGTTTCCTCCGGGTGCTCCGGTTTCCCCTACCACTAAAAACATGTACAATAGGCCTGGCATGTGCCTCCTGTATGGTGACTCCACTCCCATCTCTGTGTGGAGTGAGAGACAAAAGCCCACAACAGTTTTAAAGTGGGCTGTGATTCTGGTCTGTGAAAGGCACTATATAAATAAAATATACTTACTTGCTTACTTATAATGGATCTGGGGTTATTTTATATCAATCCATGCTGTTTTAGATGAGGAACAGTGTTGTAACCATAGACTGTATATATTAATGGGCAGAGTCACGCCTATCTCTGCCGTTCTAACTAATTGGCCAAAAAAATGTGCTCTACTGGAGCAATCCAAAATGGCCGCGAGTGGTCCTGCCCACACAAAAATTGTGAAAAAAACCCGCATCTGCGCATGCGTCAGCCGGCGCAACTCCATTCATTTGAACGAGAAACTTAAAAAATTCACAGCGAGTAAACTAGAGTGGACCAAAAAAATCCACCCCCCTCAGCATTGACACATGTGGAACGGAGCTTTGGGCCAAGAGCCAACTTTTGGTCCATCCTGTAAAGACGTTTTCGAGAGGTCCGCCAATGCTATATGTTAGCATTGGCTAATTCTTCTTCTGGGTCCACCCCCATTGGCCCGGGGTGGTATTGCAAGCATGTCAGCGCACATCATTATGGCCACTTTAGAGCTGGGACCCCCCCCCACTGGTTGTAACATAGCTAAAAAAACTTTGATTTGGCATGATATTTCTTCACAATATCCACCAACCCATCGTCCAATGACTGTGATTCCCTCTGGCCCTGGCTGCACTGCACTGCCTCTTTAAGACTTTTTTTTAAGTTTGAAGTTTGTTCTGACTTTTTTTTCTTTGACACATTCCCGTCTTCCCCTGTGGAGACAAGCAACACAGGTCCAAACAACACGCCCACCTTTCCTGTCTGCTTTCATTTGCGGGACAGAAATACTTGAATATATTATAAAAGTGAATGTTTTCTTACCTCACATGTTTGCTCAGGGTCTAAGTGTGTTGCTCAGTCCTGATGGGAGATAACTCGGGCCGAGCTAATGGTTTTTCCTGGTCATTACGATGCATTCTTTGTCTCCTGAATAAATAAATCATATGGTCTTACAGCCCCTAAGGACTCCAAGCTCGGGCCGATGGTTTTCTCTATTGCCCATCCGCGGAAATGACCACTATTAGCACGTCTGTGTCAACATGTGAAAGGCTTTAAGTGATGCATTTACACACCCAGACTTTAATTCACAGCTTAGTCCATAGTTGGGATAATGCATTGAATGATGTCACAAAAACAGTTTCCCCCCATTATTAATGCCATTGTCATTGTTAGTGATTGTGTGCAGCCATTGTAAAATGTATCACGTAAGTAATGTTTATTTATATAGCGCATTTTACAGACCATGGTCACCCATAGCGATTTACAATGTTCAGAAATCAGATGTTTTTCCATTCACACACAATGATGATGGAATCAATCAAATTGCCTTTTCCTCCACAGGGAAACACAAAGCGCTTCAGTCCACATCGCACAAGGCACAAATCATCACATAAAACACCAAAATCACCATTAAAAACACAAATAAAATCACACAGGAAATTAAAAACATTAAAACCATACAATCAAACAAGGAATTTATTCTTTTTAAACTGTTTATTATTATTTATTTTTAAGAGATAAAATCCTTCAGTTGTAAGAAAGCTAAACAGAACTGTCTTTAACCTGGATTTAAACATTGTAACAGAAAAAGCCGGTCTCACATTTTTAGGAAAACTGTTCCAGATTTTAGCTGCATGAGTCAGAAATGCTGCCTGCCCATGTCTAGTCCCCATTTCATTATAGAAATTAGAAAATCTGCCGTGCGGTTCATGCAAGGCAGCCCAGGCATATACTGTAAAGGAACTGGTGTTTTTTTGCCCTGAAGAATGGGCAGCTTCACCATCAACACCATCAACAGCTCGCAGCTGTCTATAAATGTTATTGGGAAAATACCGGAATTTCCAGTCTATGATTTTCTAGTCCTTTGACCCCTGCGGCTTATATAGCGATGCGGCTAATGTATGTATTTACAGAATACTGTGGTAGATCTGGGCTGTTGTCAGAACAGAGTTTATGGATGTATCATTTTTAGGACACTAATTTATTATGACACTGGTTTATTAACATGAAAACCTGCGGCTTATATTCAAGTGCGGCCTATATGTGGACAACATTGATTTTGTTTTTAAATATAGGTGGTGCGGCTTATATACAGGTGCGCCTTATAGCACAGAAAGTATGGTACGCGCTATTGACAACTTGGGGATGGAGACTTCTTGTGATTGTCTGTTGGCAAGATCATTTTGAAAAGAGAAAACATGTATTTACAATAGACTGCTTCCCATTATTTTTATTATTAGAAGCGACCCAAGATTTTCACTGTACGCAAATCTGACTGGCCTCGAGTCGTGTAAACGTTTTGGAAGATGAGTTTGTCCCTGGGCTGTCGGAGGTCTACAGCTGTGTGACTAATGCTCAGATCTGCAGACTGTCCATTTGGTTTGTCGCGGCGCCATCGTGTCGGAGCAATATTTTACCGTGCTCTCGGTTTAAGAGGGATACAACACGCGGCACTGTACTGTAGCTATTTAAAGACCAAAGATTATGGATTATCTTTAGTGGTGAAAGAAATTAAGGCATTTTTGTTGTGGAGGGCAGAGGACGCACCATGATGGAACTAGCCTGCAAAAGGAGCTAAAAACATCTCCAGGTCTGTTTTTGATGAGGGGCAAAGTTGTAACGTGGTTGAATTTCTATAACAAATCCTTTTTATATGGAAAATGATTAAATTCAAGATATCTCTGAGGCCTTCACTGTGTTGTTGATTCGCCAACACAACTCAGAGAATCAAAGTTAAATTGTCAAAACTAGTTTATGGGCGCTATTTTTGATGAGGTTTCAATGCTGTTGCATGGTTAAAATGCTATATCATATATGTATAAATTATAATGAAATGGGAAACTTGAATCTTTGAAATAATGCTTCTATAAAGGGATGAGCCGAAAAGGGAAAGATTCCAGTTTCAACTCGATCTCAATTTGATCAATGCCCATAACATAACGGACGTACTACCACTGCTATCATGAGTCCCGGCTTAAACGTTATGCACAGTTTGAAATGTTTGATGAAAAGACAAGTTGGATTAATCATTTTGTGCACTATGGAATACTAAACAAAAATGAAATATCAAATCCTTTTTTTTTTTTGTCAGATGGTCGGAAACTGAATTTATTTCTGTTTTCAACTTAAAATATATGTAATATATGTAAAGTGCAAAACTGCCGTTGTGTCCTTAGGCAAGACACTTCCCCCCCATTGCCTAGAATGAGTCTGGTGTGTGTGAATGGTTGGTGGGGGTCGGAGGGGCCGATGGCACATACTGGTTGCCTCGCTTCTGTCAGTGTGCCCCAGGGCAGCTGTGGCTACAGTAGTAGTTTATCACCACCGTGTATGGAGGGAATGAATGACATCTGAGAGTGAAATAAAGGCGAAGTATATCTCACTTTGCGTGTAAAAATCCTGTATAATAATAATTTAACACTTATTGAATTGTTTGAATAACATTCCTCCAGTTTCAGTTGATTTTGGTTTGGTTTCATCTAAATGCTGTTGTTTTGCCTGGATACATCTTCAGTTCATCGTTAGCCTGTACTGAAGTCTCTCTGTTCACTGTCTGGAGAGGCGAGACTTCTCACTGTAGGATTCGTTTTTTGAAGCAATAAAATCATCTGAAGTTGCTACATTTTAAACCACACTGAGGGACAAGCAGGTAGCAGACCACAGACTAAAAGAAACCACCATAGACTACAGCAGACTACAGCAGACTACAGCAGATTAAAGGAGACTACAGCAGATTAAAGGAGACTACAGCATACTACAGCAGACTACAGCAGACTACAGCAGACTACAGCAGACTACAGCAGACTACAGCAGACTACAGCAGACTACAGCAGACTACAGCAGACTACAGCAGACTACAGCAGACTACAGCAGACTACAGCAGACTACAGCAGACTACAGCAGACTACAGCAGACTAGAGCAGACTAGAGCAGACTAGAGCAGACTAGAGCAGACTAGAGCAGACTAGAGCAGACTAGAGCAGACTAGAGCAGACTAGAGCAGACTAGAGCAGACTAGAGCAGACTAGAGGAGACCAATGGAGAGGCCTGGCACCAAATGTAGTGGCACCAAACAGACTGGTTTAGACTCAAAAGTGAGATTTTATCTAATTTACAATTAGAGAGCAGTATAAGAAACATATTTATGCAATTTGAGTTAAAAATAAAAATAAAAGATGATTTGGTTTTTAGTTGTTCTTTAAGACAAAAGTAATGCATTTGAAGTTCTGTCATTACATTCCAAAATACAGTAAGTCCCATAGAGACAAAAACACATTCCGGGGTTTCCGGGGTTTTAAACCTACTTTGTTGCTTTTGACTGTTATCACGCACCTCTGTCAGAGGTTTACTTAATATTTCTGTGTAACAATGTCACCTAAATATTTGAAAGGTTTCAGATTTCACTAGACCCAAAATGGAAGTACCCGACAGAAGAAGCCTACGGATATGTAAATATTTGCACACTCCTCCCGATCTGTACGCCTTTGGTCTGTGCTCCTCTCTCTCTTTGTTGAGCTCATAAGCACTGATTACTGATGCAATCCTCCTGCTGGAGCCTAGCTGTAAATACATTTACATTTTAATATCTGGGTTTTTTTGTGGCGCCACTTTTTGTTTGTGAATTTTGTCAGGAAAAGATAAGGGTCAAAACACAGCTGAATTTGACCTAACAGACCAGCAACTGAAATGAGAACCTTATGAACATTATGATCAACATTACTGTAGTCCCTCGACAAGCTGTAGAATGACAGAAAAGACGTCCTCTGCTCTCTGATTGGATGATCTGCTTAGAAATTGGGTCCATCATCAGACACATTGCAGTATTAATCAAGAGTCTAAAATAACCACTATAGAAACTTTAAACTGTTGTTTGCGAAAAGGTTTATTATGTCAAATAGAGTTTATTATTCTGGTTCAGAGTTATTGTTCACTTGTGCTGTTTACTCCACATTTCTCCTGTTCTGTAACTTATGCAACACTGAAATTTCCCCACTCTGGAGATATCTTAATATTAATTTAAAAGTAAAATATTTCACTTGGTCCTTCTTTATAAGGTCAAAATGTACTCATATGAGAATCCATTAAGACGATTGTATCTAATGTAGTTTTTAACAATATCTTAAAACGTGACAAAAATAAGTCAATTCTTAACTTATTTTGTGTGGCTGGTGCAGACGGTGAGGAGACTGTGTGTGTGCAGAGCCATCCATCCAGACTGTGACGAAGACTCTCCTCTCTGTAAACATCAAGTGTTTGTCCTGCTTTAGCGTCACACACAGATGAATCATGGAGGAGTACGGCCCCTGTGATGTCACAAGAATATGTGGATAAATGTGTGTGTTGTGCATGACGCTCAGCAGAAGGCAGGGATGGAAATAGTTTACCGGTTAAATACAGTGCCTTGCGAAAGTATTCGGCCCCCTTGAACCTTTCAACATTTCGCCACATTTCAGGCTTCAAACATAAAGATATAAAAATTAATTTTTTTGTCAACAATCAACAAGTGGGATACAATTCGGGCGTTCTGCTCTCCCAAAATTTCATCCACTGAGCGGCGCTGTGATCAAAAAATGACACCGTTTGTTGCCCAGTTCACTTCCGATTGATTTCATACAATGGCGAATATGGCTCACGAAAACAACAAGCGATTGACAGTGCCTGAATTGCGTGAAAGGTTGAAGCGAAAGGGTATTTGCAGTGTGGGAAAACGAAAGGAGGAATTGTTGTTGCTAGTTCAACGAGCGGATGGTGTTTATGAAGATTTAGAAGAAGATGACAGCGAGCAGAGTGAACGAAAACGGCTGTGTGTGCGAGTGACAGATGGTAACAATGAGAATGAAGTTCAGCTAAGAGGGAAGAATGTGAATTGGACGGATGATTTGCGCGATATGCCACTAGTTAGAGACGGGAATGTATTTGCATACAGAAAATGACGAAAACACTCAACCATTTAGAGAAAATGCGCCGGGCAGAGAGAACCGGAAGTTGCGAAGGCAAGTGTTACCCATAATGCAACGCAAAATTCAGTCGCTCCCCCGCCCATCGGATGGAATTTTGGGAGAGCAGAACGCCCGAATTGTGAAGTGGAACGAAATTTATTGGATAATTTAAACTTTTTTTAACAAATAAAAAACTGAAAAGTGGGGCGTGCAATATTATTCGGCCCCCTTGCGCTAATACTTTGTAGCGCCACCTTTTGCTGCAATTACAGCTGCAAGTCACTTGGGGTATGTCTCGTATCAGTTTTGTACATCGAGAGACTGGGATTCTTGCCCATTCTTCCTTGCAAAACAGCTCGAGCTCAGTGAGGTTGGATGGAGAGCGTTTATGAACAGCAGTCTTTAGCTCTTTCCACAGATTCTCGATTGGATTCAGTTCTGGACTTTGACTTGGCCATTCTAACACCTGGATACGTCTATTTGTGAACCATTCCATTGTAGATTTGGCTTTATGTTTTGGATCATTGTCCCATTGGAAGATTAATCTCCGTCCCAGTCTCAGGTCTTTTTCAGACTCCAACAGGTTTTCTTCCAGAATGGTCCTGTATTTGGCTCCATCCATCTTCCCATCAATTTTAGCCATCTTCCCTGTCCCTGCTGAAGAAAAGCAGGCCCAAAGCATGATGCTGCCACCACCATGTTTGACAGTGGGGATGGTGTGTTCAGGGTGATGAGCTGTGTTGCTTTTACGCCAAACATATCGTTTTGCATTGTGGCCAAAAAGTTTGATTTTGGTTTCATCTGACCAGAGCACCTTCTTCCACATGTTTGGTGTGTCTCTCAGGTGGCTTGTGGCAAACTTTAAACAAGACTTTTTATGGATATGTTTGAGAAATGGCTTTCTTCTTGCCACTCTTCCATAAAGGACAGACTCTCCCACCTCAGCTGCAGTTATCTGCAGTCATCCAGAGTGATCATGGGCCTCTTGGCTACATCTCTGATCAGTCTTCTCCTTGTTTGAGATGAAAGTTTGGAGGGACGGCCGGGTCTTGGTAGATTTGCAGTGGTCTGATACTCCTTCCATTTCAATATAATTGCTTGCACAGTGCTCCTTGAGATGTTTAAAGCTTGGGAAATCTTTTTGTATCCAAATCCGGCTTTAAACTTCTCCCCAACAGTATCTCGGACCTGCCTGGTGTGTTCCTTTGTCTTCACGGTTCTCTCTGCGCTTTAAACAGAACCCTGAGACTATCAAAGAGCAGGTGCATTTATACGGAGACTTGATCACACACGGGTGCATTCTATTTATCATCATCAGTCATTTAGGACAACATTGGATCATTCAAAGATCCTCACTGAACTTCTGGACTGAGTTTGCTGCACCGAATAATATTGCACGCCCCACTTTTCAGTTTTTTATTTGTTAAAAAAGTTTAAATTATCCAATAAATGTTGTTCCACTTCACGATTGTGTCCCACTTGTTGTTGATTCATGACAAAAAATTAATATTTTATATCTTTGTGTTTGAAGCCTGAAATGTGGCGAACTGTTGAAAGGTTCTAGGGGGCCGAATACTTTCGCAAGGCACTGTAAAAACAGTGTCTTTGTTTTATGTAACTGGGATAGTAGCAGAGGAGAGGAGCCATTTGTATTTAGTTGTATTTATGAAACTAGCTCAGGGGTGTCAAACTCATTCTTCTCAGGGGCCAAGTTTAAAAACATTAGAGCTGGTTGGGGCCAAAAGTATAAAAGGGGTTTACATATTATTCCATTTTGACAAATTTATTTTATAGTGGTTTCAATTCAATCACAACTGGGCCAAATATCTTTAAAGTTGTGATTGAAGAGTTATAGTTCAGTATAAATCTTAACTCAAAAGGTATATAAGAAGATTTTTTATTCTGGAGGGATCATCAAGACTATTGGTCCTCCAAGTTTTCAATCATTCTGGTGATATGTACTTGTCAATAATAATTGTTCAAAAAGTGGAGGGGGCGTTTCTTTCCTAAAATTTGGGGAAATCCTCTTATATACCTTTTAACTTCTAATTATTTAATAATGTTAGTTAATATTTTAGAGAAGATGAAATTTAAAATGAAGTATATATTGCCATAGAATCTCACTACCCTCAAGTTACTGTGATAATAATCATCAAATCATTTCTGGGGCCACTAAAAATGGTCTCACAGACCAGATTTGGCCCACGGGCCTGAGTTTGACATGCCCGATCTTGTTCTTTAAAGACTAAAACTGGAGTTCTCATGGTGAAGTTTCCACTCTTTCTCTGTAACCATTTCTGTCAAACTTTTCTTTAAAAAAAAAAAAAATTGTGGTTTGACGCCGTTTTTGATCCTAGTGTTCGTATTTTGTCTTTATCGGCCAAACCTGTTTTATCTAGCAAGTGTAAGGAAAATGAAATACAGCAATTTTCAATCTCAAAGTTGATTTTTATCTCTGCAGTAAATCATTGTAGTGCAGACGTTTAAAATGAGTTTCATATCTGTACAAAAAAAATTACTTTGAAAAAAATTTACTTTGAGCTTGTGCTGCAGGTGAAGTGGTGATATGTATTCTGGGGACAGCTCCGAAAAAAGAATCGATAAATTCCTGTCAATAAAAGTCTTGCACACGTTTTGTTAAGTCTTCCAAGACGACAGCTGTTGTGTGTTAAGGTACAGATAATACATCGAAGGCCGGTGTGTGAGGGGGCTTCCAGCGTGGGGCAACCATATTTTTGGAATTAATCCATTTGCCCTCTATGAATGTAACCATGGTGACGATGTGTGTGCAGATAGATTGATACTTTATTGATCCCTGTTGGAGAAAATCAGGTGTCCAGCAGCAGAAACACATCCATCCATACAAACAAATACATAATTCTCAGATTCAGATTCATTTATTTGCCATTTTCAGTAATGTGGTTCATAGGAAAAACTGTGCAAGACTACCCCGGTGTGCACCAGGACGACACACACCAGAGCTCTTGCCACGGCGCCATCTAAGTGTGTGTGTGTGTGTGTTGTGCAGCCGGAGTGCCTGTGTTCGGGGCCTTCCTGCGCTCAGAGTTCAGTGAGGAGAACCTGCAGTTCTATCTGGCCTGTGAGCAGTACGAGCACTCGTCCAACAACTTCAGTCTGCAGAGAAGGGCACGAGACATCTGCAACACATACATCCTGCCAGGGTCTCCCAGAGAGGTAACACACACATGCACACGCACAAGACATCTGCAACACATACATCCTGCCAGGGTCTCCCAGAGAACAGAGGTAGCCCAGAGAGGCACCACACAAAGTCTGCAGTTGTAACAGAGGCAGAATGATCCTTTTCAGAACCATTTGATGCGTTGGTTCTTGGAGGGAGATGAGCTGCTGCTGAGACCCCTGGGTTGGAGGTGTGTACCTAATCCTAAGTACACAGGTATTCAAATATGAATTTGCCAGTTTTGGCATATTCATATTTGAATATCATTGCACCAAATCCACTGGTAACATTGAAACAATGGCCTTCTATACTGAGGTCACTTTCACATGACCTGAGCCTGGGACTGGCCTGGATCAAGACTCCGTTTTGATTCATTGAATCATATGTTATGGCAAGTGTCAGACATTCCTCTTATTCCCTCCCTGATCATACCTTCTCTTCCTGCATGAATCAAACCCACTTTCCCCCACTTGACATGTCTTGTTCTTTGTCCTTTCTCTACATAACCATAATACTGGACGTGGAATGTGAGCGAGGCCAGCTTGGGATTGCATCGTGTCTGTCTGACGTCGTTAAGTTGTTCCTCTTGGATCCCTTCCCGTTTTAAAATTCCACTTCAGAGGTTATTTTGATAAGACAATAATGTAAAGAAGCTAGTACTGCTTAAATTATGTTTCGGCCTTTGTCAGATGCTAGATATAGACAAATGTTGATTGACAATCTGAACAACAAGAAGATAAAGTGGAGAAGCATTTCTTTGCAATGTGAATCCTGAACCTTTCGCCTGTCTCGTGGTGGAAATCAGAGGATGATAGTGTTTTTGAGCACTCTTTAAACTGCGACACAATCGTCTTTAGAGATGCTTCAAAGCCTCAAAGCGCTGGAATTGCAAATTGCACATTTTCGTTTTTTGATTGGCGACTAACGGTGAGTGGGCGCCTGGATTGTAACCTTGATCATCTTATTCAGCGGTGCTCACATGCTGCTTGTTCTGTTGGAGAAATACTAAACTCGGGTCCTGAGGAGGAAAAGAGAAGAAAGTACTGAGAAAAACATGTTACATAACTAAATTAATCACCAAGAAATTCCTAAACGTTCAATGATTTTTGATAAATCTAAAAGCTGTCATAATATGGTCAATTTTCACTAGAGGTCTCCACCATATTGTAATACATGTGTTAATGTATACTGAGACAAGAGAGGTCTGCATGTATACTGAGACAAGAGAGGTCTGCATGTATACTGAGACAAGAGAGGTCTGCATGTATACTGAGACAAGAGAGGTCTGCATGTATACTGAGACTAGAGAGGTCTGCATGTATACTGAGACCAAAGTGGTCTGCATGTATACTGAGACTAGAGAGGCCTGCATGTATACTGAGACCAGAGAGAGGTCTGCATGTATACTGAGACCAGAGAGGTCTGCATGTATACTGAGACCAGAGAGAGGTCTGCATGTATACTGAGACCAGAGAGAGGTCTGCATGTATACTGAGACCAGAGAGGTCTGCATGTATACTGAGACTAGAGAGGTCTGTATGTATACCGAGACAAGAGAGGTCTGCATGTATACTGAGACTAGAGAGGTCTGCATGTATACTGAGACTAGAGAGGTCTGCATGTATACTGAGACCAGAGTGGTCTGCATGTATACTGAGACCAGAGAGGTCTGCATGTATACTGAGACCAGAGTGGTCTGCATGTATACTGAGACTAGAGAGGTCTGTATGTATACTGAGACCAGAGAGGTCTGCATGTATACTGAGACTAGAGAGGTCTGCATGTATACTGAGACCAGAGAGGTCTGCATGTATACTGAGACCAGAGTGGTCTGCATGTATACTGAGACCAGAGTGGTCTGCATGTATACTGAGGCTAGAGAGGTCTGCATGTATACTGAGACAAGAGAGGTCTGCATGTATACTGAGACAAGAGAGGTCTGTATGTATACTGAGACCAGAGAGGTCTGCATGTATACTGAGACTAGAGAGAGGTCTGCATGTATACTGAGACCAAAGTGGTCTGCATGTATACTGAGTAGGGCTGGGCGATTAATCGATTTTAATAATTAATTCGAGTTTTACGTTTAGGGCTATTTCTTTTTTTTTAAATTCGATTTTTATTTTCTCCAGCGCAGAACTACAGCGCTAACGCGCTAACCGCGGGTCTATGGTGTTGAGCAGTCATTTTGAAGCTAACCTAATGCTAACAGGCTCCCTCTGGCCTGATGCTCGCTCTCACAGTTGGTGCTGTTGCAATAACACTTCAAACGTTCAAGAATCAGACTTTATTTAAATCGCCAGAACACACACACACACGCACGCAGGCTCCGGTCGCTATGTTCGTAAGCCATGTTCGTACGCCACATCTTTCACGCTCTCTCACGCTCGTTATTCCAAAGCGCACTACTTTGGAATAACGAGCGTGAGAGAGCGTGAAAGATGTGGCGTACGAACATGGCTTACGAACATAGCGACCGGAGCCTGCGTGCGTGTGTGTGTGTGTTTTGGCGATTAAATAAAGTCTGATTCTGGAACGTTTGAAGTGTTATTGTAGCTGTTAGCTACAGTAGCTGCTACAGTAGCTGTTAGCTACAGCATCAGAATGTAAACAGGAAGCTCGCACAATGCGGGAGTCACTGAAGTTAGTATTAGCGCCACCAGCTGGACCGAGCGTTGTACTACAGCACAGTTACTCAGGCACAGTTGAAAGAACAAGCATGAAAACCCGAGGAGGCTTTTGGAAAAGACTGTCTGTTACAACATTTCTACTTTGAGTAATCAGTTTTAAAAATGTGATATTTCATGTAAATAATGCATGTGTTTAATAGGATTGATATATTTGCGATGGGCCTTGTTTGTGTGATTTAAGTTATTTTGAAGGTGCATAGTGTCATTGTAAGTGAAGTTATTATAAAACTGTTAAGCTACATTTTCACTGTTTACAATGGCAGAGCCATCTCGTTTACAAGCATGTTTTAAGGCTTAATTCCTGTTACACTTATGCTCCATGGGGATTTAGATTAAACTGCATAAAGAAAAATCTATTTCTTTGTCAGTTGTAGTTTGTTTTTAAATAGAAAAAAATAAATCGATTAAAATCGAAAATCGGATTTGGTGTGAAAAAATCGGAGATTTTTTTTTTTTGCCATATCGCCCAGCCCTAATACTGAGGCTAGAGAGGTCTGCATGTATACTGAGACCAAAGTGGTCTGCATGTATACTGGGACTGCATGCCAGCGAATGGGGGGTAATGTAATCCTTAGTTTGTGGTGACTCCTGTGTGTGAAAGCCAGAGCATGTCAGACCTCTGAAGCTAAGCAGGGCAGGGTTAGGGTAGGTACTGGGATGGGAGATCTCTTGGAACATCTGTTGCCACTGTAGGGCGGCTGCGGCTGTAAAGTGTCAAACTGTGGTTGTGTCCTTAGGGAAGACGCTTCACCCACATTAGAATGAGTCTGGTGTGTGTGAATGGTTGGTGGTGGGAGGGGCCGATGGCACATACTGGTTGCCTCGCTTCTGTCAGTGTGCCCCAGGACAGCTGTGGCTACAGTAGTAGTTTATCACCACCGTGTATGGAGTAAAGTGTGTGGAGTTTTTATGTGCGTCTTTTTGCTCGCACAATAGCTAAAAAAATTAAAGCTGGTTTCATAAATGTCTGAACAGAAAGTAACTTTTCGTAAACATCTTATTAGAAGTAGTAAGAATAGAATAGTAAGAATAAAAATGGCACCACACGTCTGTTTAAATGAAGGTACAAAGTACAACGAAGGTACTTTTTAGGTACAAAGTTACATCTTGAGAAGTCCCACGTAACACACCCAGTCTGTTTTTAGCTGAACCCCAGCCGGTGGATGGCATCAGTAATCAGTGCTTAGTGTCACAGATGAAGATTTTGTCTCAGATTCTGACACACAAAAGTGTGATTGTATTGACTTTATCAGACCATTAAAGTGTGTTTTACATACTCTCAAAGTGAAATGAGGCGACGCAACACAACCTGTGACTCAAACAACACAACTCTAACTTTAGATCATACCTGCTAGTTTTGTGCTAAAACCAAAATGATAAAGCCTTACATTAATCTGAATGCATCAGTGGATGAAGGCCACGGATTGTTACATATTTGATGATTGTCTGCCAGTGTCCACAGAGAAACCAACTTGTAAGATGTCTGTATACTGTACGTCTTTTTATTGAATCAAAATAAAGTCATCTATAATGAAGACTAGCCATAGTAATAATGTTGGTTTGTTTTTTGATTTGTTAGATTTTTCCAAACTTTTAAACCCTAAGGAATAAATCTACAGCAACGAGTCCATGGCTCTCAAATCAGATTTCCAGACAGAAATGTGAAAAAGGAAGGCCAATCACCTCTCAGCCCAAAGCATCAAATGGTGACTCCCAGGTTATTACTCCCAAAGAGTAATCACTTGTTTTCTAATAAAGTGAAGACAACAGTTTCTGTAGCGTCCAGTTGTTTGTTTGGTTGAAGCCAGAGCTGATGGTTAAATGTTCCATGGAATCATAACAAATGTAAGATCGAGAACAGAAATGCTAATTCAATCTGGAGAGACTCGATAAATTACACATGAAGCTGCTGCTTGGATGGAGCTTCTGCGCGATTTTCAAGTTGGAAAAAACAATCAACATTCAGCTAACAATATTTTTATTTAGGATTTTTTTAACCACTGTTGGGTTAATTTGACCCGAGGCTAGCACGAGGATGACTGTACCTGTTTTTAGTAGGGCTGTCAAAATTATTGCGTTACGCAAGTTAATTAAATGTTTCATTAATCGCGTAAAAAAAAAAAAAAAACACGGCAAACGCCGTCGCGGTAACATGATCCAAGGCTAAACACGCACAGAACTATTCTCTGCATGTTGTGTGCGTGTCTTTGCGTAACCTTTGCGTAACCGTGGAGCAACAAATACACCGCTGAAGCTGAACTAAGGAGCCTCAGGAAGTGTCCGTGTCTCCTCCGTGTCTCCTCCGTGTCTCCTCCGTGTCTCCTTCGTGTCTCCTCCCTGTCTCCTCCGTGTCTCCTCCCTGTCTCCTCCGTTGTCCTCCTCCGTGTCTCCTCCGTGTCTCCTCCGTGTCTCCTCCGTGTCTCCTCCGTGTCTCCTCCGTGTCTCCTCCGTGTCTCCTCCGTGTCTCCTCCCTGTCTCCTCCGTGTCTCCTTCCTGTCTCCTCCGTGTCTCCTCCGTGTCTCCTCCGTGTCTCCTCCGTGTCTCCTCCGTGTCTCCTCCGTGTCTCCTCCGTGTCTCCTCCGTGTCTCCTCCGTGTCTCCTCCGTGTCTCCTCCGTGTCTCCTCCGTGTCTCCTCCGTGTCTCCTCCGTGTCTCCTCCGTGTCTCCTCCGTGTCTCCTCCTGTCTCCTCCTGTCTCCTCCGTGTCTCCTCCGTGTCTCCTCCGTGTCTCCGTGTCTCCTCCGTGTCTCCTCCGTGTCTCCTCCCTGTCTCCTCCCTGTCTCCTCCGTGTCTCCTCCGTGTCTCCTCCGTGTCTCCTCCGTGTCTCCTTCGTGTCTCCTTCGTGTCTCCTCCGTGTCTCCTCCCTGTCTCCTCCCTGTCTCCTCCGTGTCTCCTCCGTGTCTCCTCCGTGTCTCCTCCGTGTCTCCTCCGTGTCTCCTCCGTGTCTCCTCCCTGTCTCCTCCGTGTCTCCTCCCTGTCTCCTCCGTGTCTCCTCCCTGTCTCCTCCGTGTCTCCTCCGTGTCTCCTTCGTGTCTCCTTCGTGTCTCCTTCGTGTCTCCTCCCTGTCTCCTCCCTGTCTCCTCCCTGTCTCCTCCCTGTCTCCTCCCTGTCTCCTCCCTGTCTCCTCCCTGTCTCCTCCCTGTCTCCTCCCTGTCTCCTCCCTGTCTCCTCCCTGTCTCCTCCCTGTCTCCTCCCTGTCTCCTCCGTGTCTCCTCCGTGTCTCCTCCGTGTCTCCTCCGTGTCTCCTCCGTGTCTCCTCCGTGTCTCCTCCCTGTCTCCTCCGTGTCTCCTCCCTGTCTCCTCCGTGTCTCCTCCCTGTCTCCTCCGTGTCTCCTCCTCCGTGTCTCCTCCGTGTCTCCTCCGTGTCTCCTCCGTGTCTCCTCCGTGTCTCCTCCGTGTCTCCTCCGTGTCTCCTCCGTGTCTCCTCCGTGTCTCCTCCGTGTCTCCTCCGTGTCTCCTCCGTGTCTCCTCCGTGTCTCCTCCGTGTCTCCTCCGTGTCTCTCCTCCGTGTCTCCTCCCTGTCTCCTCCCTGTCTCCTCCGTGTCTCCTCCGTGTCTCCTCCGTGTCTCCTCCGTGTCTCCTCCGTGTCTCCTCCTGTCTCCTCCCTGTCTCCTCCTGTCTCCTCCGTGTCTCCTCCGTGTCTCCTTCGTGTCCTCGTCCTCCGTGTCTCCTCCCTGTCTCCCTCCCTGTCTCCTCCCTGTCTCCTCCCTGTCTCCTCCCTGTCTCCTCCCTGTCTCCTCCTGTCTCCTCCGTTCTCCTCCGTGTCTCCTCCGTGTCTCCTCCGTGTCTCCTCCGTGTCTCCTCCGTGTCTCCTCCGTGTCTCCTCCCTGTCTCCTCCGTGTCTCCTCCCTGTCTCCTCCGTGTCTCCTCCCTGTCTCCTCCGTGTCTCCTCCGTGTCTCCTCCGTGTCTCCTCCGTGTCTCCTCCGTGTCTCCTCCGTGTCTCCTCCGTGTCTCCCCTGTGTCTTCTCCTGAAACACAACTAAACTCACTAAATTAAAGCTGGGGTGCGTACATTTTCCCTTTCATTAACAGCTCATTTTGGTTGTGCCCAAAAGTAAAAGGTTGTGATCAAAGCAAACAGATTTAAGTACATTTGGTATGAATGACGTGTCATTACATCTGATAATCTCATTTAACTTCAAGTGGATTTGAAATAGAATGTTAAAAATGTGATTAATCGTGAGTTAACTCACCACTATACGATTAATCAACTAAAACATTTTAATTGTTTGACAGCCCTTGTTTTTATTAACATCTTTTCAGTACAATTCAGCACTAGCTGCTTATATCGTGTTAAAGATAACCAAAGCACCAATCGACCTTTACAGTTTCCTTTGATAAGACTTTTTCTATTGGAACAAAGAACATGTATTATTTATGAAACAAATCAAGTTCTTCACCCCAGCTTTACATATCGGGTCTCTGAGTGTGGTCCACAGTTGAGCACATGTTTTCTGATAGCTCTGCTCTGGCTCCGGGCCCCTGTAAATGTCACCAGGAGACTTTACCCTGAGCCCTGGACTTTGAGCTCGCTGTGGCAGAAACGCCATGATCTGAAACCCTTAGAAGGTCATTCCTCGAGCGGCATCAGGCTGGTGACTTTTACCTGCTCTGTGAGGTTACAAATGTCACCTGCTGTTCTCTCTGGACGTCTTATTGCTCTTTCCTGAATATTGTGAATGTGTATTTATTCACTGGCAATTCGTGACCGCGGTGCATTTCAACACTGCACTTTTAATTCCTAGACTAGAGCAGCTAATTACTAGTCTTGCTTCTTCATCTTGTTAAGTTGGAGATTTTATACTGCTTCTTTTTGCAAGAGTTAGATTTGATTTAATTTAATTTAATTTGACTATAGAGTCGTCATTCCTACTGTGGCGTGAATAGATCTAAACACAGCTTCAGGTCTGTGATCGATGTAACATGATCTAAAACTCAATGTTGCATCATCTGTCTCCTTTAAGACAATTTATGTGTCTGAATCCTCATAAAATTACCAAGAAGTTAATTTGATCAATATTCCCAAACCCCACATTTCTGGGAGACCTGTTGATTTGTTTATGCTAAATAATTTTCTCCAGTTAAACTCATACTAAATTAAAGGCATTGTGTGTGGCCCACAGAAGCAGAGAAAGTGTCTCCAATCTTCATCTCGGTCTCTTTTAAGTTAGAAACCATTCAGGTTAGTTATCTGTTGGTTATAATGGATTCAGATTTTAATTTGAATAGTCACATTAGTTAAATCTGTAACATTAGCAGCTTTCGACAATCTAAAGAACATTGCCAGACTTCAAGGCATAGTGTCTAATGCAGACTGAAGATTCTTATCCTGCTTTTGTCTCCAGAAGATTAGACTACTGTTCCGACCTGTTCACTGTTCGAGTCCTGACTAGAACCAGGAAGTACCATCACATTAGTCCAGGTCTCAGGTCTCCGCACTGGCCGCCCGTGGCTCAGAGAATAGACTTTCAGCTCTCCCCGTGGCCTATCTAGGATTTGAATGCCTTTTCCGATTGTTTCTATCTTGTTTTGTTAAGCACTTTGAGTTGCCTTGTGTATGAACTGTGCTCTACAAACAAACTCACTTTATGTAAAAATATGATACCAAATATATATAAATTCATTGCATTTTCGCAGTCCTCTTGAAAGCGCCATGATTCCTGTCAAGCTTTGCATCACAAAACAAAACACATGCAGCGAGGGACTGTGCTGATCCCTAACAACACGAGTGAGTCACCTCTGTCTGTCCAAATTGTAAAGAACCAGTCTGTTTGGATACGGGTGAGCTGCATGTAACCACGTAAACCAGGTCCTTATGAGACAATGGGCAGTGATGCATTTAAGTGTGCAAGAAATAGTCAGGCTGGATCACTATGAGCCCATGGTTACGTGCAGCTCAATCGTATCCAGACCGGTTTTTCACACTTTTCACTTTCATTTCTCTTTCATATTTTTATCATATTACACTGGAGTATGTGTAGGGGGAGGATTCGGTTTTCACTTCTGCTTTGTAAACCCGCCACTGACATTTCTGCACAATAAAAAAGTAAAACTAAGAATCAACATCAAGTACGTCAATACTGTATGTACCCAGCTTTTTGATTCTTTGATCTGTCGTTGCGAATCAATAACGTAAAGTCCTCAGTCGACTGCTGTTGTGATGGTGGGCTGCACACAAATACATACATTTGAATTATGTAGAGATATAAAATCCTGTTTGTTCAGCATGATGAAACGGCACGTATCGAATTGGCCCAAAAAGGAAAGGAAGTCATAAACTTGTGGCTATACCTGCAGGTGAAGGCAGATCCCATCAGACCTCTGAGGCTAAGCAGGGCAGGGCCTGGTTAGTACTGTGATGTGAGACCACTGGCAACACCTGTGGGGGCGGCTGCGGCTGTAAAGTGCCAAACTGTTGTGTTCTTAGGTAAAACACTTCACCCCCATTGCCTAGAATGACTCTGGGGTGATCTTTCTTTGTTGGATTTTTAATACAATATATTTCATATGTGATTGTGACGTTTTGACGTTTCATTGCCTGTTTTTAGTTGCTTGTGAAGAACCGTGGGTTACACTGTATGATTTGTGCTTTGTAAATATATTTGATTGATTTTATTATTGTTATTAATATTATTATCACTGTTACTCATCTGCAGCAGTGCTCTCTGTGACCTCTCCTCTTGTGTTTAGGTCAACCTGGACAGTAAAACGCGGGACCTGACCATCCAGCTGCTGCAGGCGCCCTCCCACACCTCGCTCAGTCTGGCCCAGAAGCGAATCTACTCCCTGCTGGACACGGACTGCTACCCCCGCTTCCTCCAGTCGCCCTTGTACACCTCGCTGCTACAGGAAGCAGAATGACCGTTGTGACCAGTACCTCGCACCTCACAGTTCGGGATGTAAAAATTTATAAACGTTCAAAGCTTGTGTGTAAATACCCTGATTTTTAAATCAAATTTAAAGGCATTTAGGTAGATGTTTGAACCACTTGTGATGAGAACGACAATAACTGGTGTCGCTGCCTCACAGTCGGAGAAGAGAAAGACAAGACTGGACTGACATCAAACTAGACAGAAGATGGATTAAAATTTAAACATCTTTAAAGTCTGTGGTGTTAGAGAGACCAGTGCCGTCAGTGTCTTTGCAACGTTCAGAACATTCCAGATTGGTGCTCATGCCATTTTCTTATTTAGTTTTGGAATAAAGTTGCTGTATCTTAAGACTTTTGACGTTGGCGGGACATTACATCTATGTGGGCCAGGTACACACACACACAGGCACACACACAGGTACAGGTTCCCATAGACACAGGTGCACACACACACACACAGGTACAGGTTCACATAGACACAGGTGCACACACACACACACAGGTACAGGTTCACATAGACACAGGTGCACACACACAGGTACAGGTTCACATAGACACAGGTGCACACACACGCATACACACGTGTCTATACAGTTGTAGATAGATACAATAATGGATAGAAATGAAATATTATACATATCAAGGCACCCAGTTGTGTGGTTGAGTGTTCAGAGGGCGATCAAGGTCAGTTTACACAAGTCCTGGTCAGGATTTTAGGACAATGCTGTAAAAGACTTGTGGTTAACGTGTCTCCTTTTAAGTCCTCCTTTAATATATCGATCCAGTTGAATAAAAATTATAAAGAAATGTATTGTAAAATTGTAAAATTCTCCACCTCCTCCTTCACACATGATAAGATAAGAGATCCTTTATTCGTTCCACAGTGGGGATCAGTCAGATGGCCTGGTCCGGCATGGGATGGAACCAAAGACCTTTTTACTGTGAGGAATAAGCACTGCAGCCACCATCAGGATCTTAGTCTTATTTGTCTGTTCAAATGTCTTCCTGTCGAATGTGAACGCTCCCGGACACAAAACTACAGAGGCCCTAAAGTGACAAGTCAATCTAGTTCTCACAGAATAATCTTGTTTGTTCAAGATAGTTATCCTGTCAGAAAATGATTTGGTCACACTTGAGTATAGCCCTGACTAATCAACAGCTAATTAGTGTATTATGTATGATAAATTAGCTTTTAATTGGTATTTATTAAGAGCTGATTTGTCCTTATTCTACATGGCCTTATTCAACACCTAACCAATATCTGACTGTTTTTCCATTATAAGTCAATGGGATGTTCCTGATTCTGGAAGCAGCCCACCCAAAGAATGATAATAATGCATTTGTTTTATACAGCGCTTTTCTAGAAGCTCAAAGACAATTCACATTCTTTCACTTTACTTACATAAACTACTACTGTAGCCACAGCTGCCCTGGGGCACACTGACAGAACCAGTATGTGCCATCGGCCCCTCCGACCACCACCAGCCATTCACACACACACCAGACTCAATCTACAAAGATGGTAATCCGGAATCTTTAGACAGGAATCTGGACGCGGTTTGGGTTAGGGTACACTAATCAGCAATTAATTAGTAAGGGCTAATCTAAAGTGTCATCCTTTATACAGAACCCCAGGAGTAAATAAGTAATTTAATACCAGAAGGTCGGTCTTTCATGGATCGGTCGACCTCTCTCACCTGGGCCTGGAGGACCCTGGACCGGACTGTAAATGAACACTGTGCACTGAGAAGCATTCAGACGTTTGACATGAACTTTTCCTCGTGTGAAAAATGCACTTGAATAAATGATTCTGTGTAAAACTGCACTTCTGGGACAGGGTTTTCTGTTGGTGCCTGGACTGAGTTCTTTGAGCATGATTTCGACAATATTTACCGTCATATTTTATGTTTTTATGTGCAATAATTTAGTTTGAGCTAAAATGATGAATAAACAGTAGGGTTTGTAAAGGGAAACAGCAGCCATTCAATGTAAAAGCACTCGGAGAACATCTCTGTCATAGTCGGAGGATTTGTCACAGCTTGAGTTTGAAAATGAGTATTTAGACAGAGAAGCCAGGTACAGGGTTTGCGAAAAGTCAAATGTTATTTTTCTAACGTATGCATCAGGAGGCGTCCCTGTGGCTCTGCTTCTCACTGAGGTTTTTTATAATGTTTAATAATAAAGACCTTCCTGTTTTTAGTCGTTCTATTTCTCATTTAACGTAATGCTGGTTTGGACAGTGCAGTTGAAAGAACACACCTCTCTTTCTTTTGGCCTCGTCCCTTCGATGGTTCCACAGTCACTCACTTTTAGTGGAGCACCCGCAGAAAACCTGCGCAGATGCAAAGGAAGAGCCCAGAACCTGTGGCACACGAGGAAAAGACTCATGAAGAAAGACTCAGTGTTGTGTAAAGGTCAGAGTGTGGCTCACTTCCACACGACTCACGGAACAAGTGAGCCCAGCCCAGCCCAGCCCAGCCCAGCCCAGCCCAGCCCTGAACTGTGTTCAGTCACTTTTTACAGGAGTGGAAACTGTTCATATTTTAGTTACATGTTCACTGTGTTTTCTCTGGGTTTTCAATTAGTTGAAACAAATATGCTACAGTTAACTGACTTAATAAAGTTTTTGGGTGACCATGGGGGCAGCACGGATGAACATATTTCCATCCATCCATCCAT